TGTTTTACTTCGTAGTCTATAACAGCACTCAGCAAACGTTAGTTGTAAGTAAGTGATTGTTAATTTGGATACTACGATATAGAAGACAGCAAACTAGATACTTTATGAATGTTCCTCTACCTCTATTCCCAGTAGAGGACCACCACCCACCACCACACATGCCCACACACGCAGGCGATCCTATAAGATGGATAGAACCTTCATTCTATTTGTCAGAAAGATGAGATTCAGAGTTGTTGAGTAACTTAGTCAAGGTCACACAGCTAGTCAGCGTCTCTGCCCAAGTTTCACTGACATTATGTCAGTTTTTCCCCTAGTACAACGATTCAGAGAAAACTAGAGTGCTCTTTTCTCAAATTGCCCTTTATAAACTACGAAGGGCTGAAACACGGGTTTTCTCATGATTTGGAGGGAACTACTGCATTCTTTCCTGAGCAAAATGAAAGCTGAATTTCAGAGGATTATTTGGAAACTCCTGCAGCAGAAGTGGGAAATGGCAGAAGCTTTTCATCACCAGCTCTGAACACACCTCATCCACCCACTGTGATTGAGAGGATTTTAATGAGTCAGGAAGGGATGGAACGGGTCCTTCCTTTTTCCCAGAGACAATTGTCACTTGAGAGGCTGCACATCAAATGGAAACTTCTTGTTGCAGAGAGAAAAGTGTCTGTGGAGCCTCCTTCCTTCAAATGCCGTAATCATCCCCCCAACTTTGAAAGCTCTTCTGAAATGACTTCCATATTGGGCTGAATTGCAAGGCTTAAGTGATGATGCTCAAGATGGTAGAGGGAATATAATGCCTCCTTCTCCCCCCATCCCAAAAGCCCATGTCCTCACCCCCAGAACCTGTATGTTACTTTATAAGGCAAAAGGTCTGTGGCTGTGATTAAATTAAGGACCTTGAGATGAGGAGATTATCTTGGATTATCTGAGTGAGTCCAATGTGATCGCATGGGGTCCTTTTATATTTATTTATTTATTTATTTAGCTGAGCCATCCTGCCACCTGTTGGCAGCTCAGCGGCAGCTCAGCTCGGGCTGGGAATCGAACTGCTGTTGCTCAGAGCTCACACTCTTGAGCGAGCTCTTCACCAACTGAGCCACTCGGCCGGCCCCCATGGGGTCCTTATAAAAGCAAGAACTTTCCTGGTTATAGTCAGAGCGAGACGTGACTGTGGAAGAAAGGCACAGAGAGATGTAATGCGGTTCACTTTGAAGACGGAGGAAGCAGCCGTGAGCTAAGGAACGCAGGTGTTTCTAGAAGCTGGAAAAGGCCAGGAAACAGATTCTCCCCTGGTGCCTCCTGGAGGGAAGGAGGCCCTGTAGACATCTTGATTTTAGCTCAGTAAGAGCCATGTTGGACTTTTGGCCTATAGAACTGTATGATAAGTGTGCATTGTTTTCATTTGTGATAACCTGTTAACGGTATCACTAGAAAACAAATACACTTGGGAGTATTACTAGTTGAAAACTTTCTTGGTCCACGAACCAGAGCATTTGTAACACACAGGTCCGATGTGCTTTCTTCACTTCCCATACCCAGTTAGACTCCACATCCTGTTGATTCTACTCATAGAAATCATACTTGTGGCCTTTTGAGGTTTCTGTGCTTGGCCCGCTCCAAACTCTTTGGAGTGGACTTTCTTTTCTAATAATGGCCCTTGAGATGTTCTGTACTGCTCAGGCCCACTTCTGCTTCTTTGAAATGTATTTTTACTTCTAATAAACTTCTTTTCTGCAACTTAAAAAAAACGAAGAACCCCCCATATTTGTGATGCTCGCTACTATCCTCTGAGGAGTGGCCTCATGCCAGGCACGTGTAAGACACTTGACGTACCTTTTCTCCAGTCTCTATAACTCTTGCCAAGCAGGTAACAATTTCTTCATGGCAGGTGAGAAAATTGAGACTAAGTGACCTGCCCAGATAGTAATGGTGCAGCCAGGATTCAAACTTCCCTGTCTACTTTGGCATCTTGGGTGCTGGCGATGCGAGGCGGGGAACCTCACCAACAGCCAGGAATCTGGCTCTTTCTCTCCGTCCCCCCAACACAGGTTCTTGTCTCCCAGTAGCGTTTGGCCATTGCTTCCTAAGATGGCCCCTGCCGCTGGATCTCGTCCCCATCAATCCTTCATCCACTGCAGGCAGAGCACCTTCCCCAGTCCACAACTTCTCTGCTTCAACCCTCCCAGGGGTCCCCACTTTCTGCTGCATCAGAGCCAACTTTCTTAGCGTGGCATTCAAAGCCCTCCACAATCTGGCTCTGGGCTCAATCCATCCCTTCAAACTCTCTATGCTATAGACCCATCATGTTCGCTTTGCACCAGAATATGCCATGGACTTTTCATCACCATGTATACAAACATCCCCATATGACAGACAAGGAAAGCATAGTTCAGAGTTGTGAAGTTAGCTGCCTTGGGTCACACAGCTTGTGTGAAGCAGAGTCAATACTAGACCCCAAATTGCCCATTAGAGCACCCTTCAGCCTGAAAGAGATATAAATCTCTTTTCCCTCCTCTTTCCTCCTCTGCCACCATCAATAAGTGACACAACCATCCTCTCTGTGGGGAGGACTAGTACCTCCAATCTGTTCTCCAAGTGGAATGAAAATCTAATCATGCTTCTCCACTGCTTAAAAGTCCTTTGTGGGCCGGCCGAGTGGTGCATTGGTTAAGAGCTGGCTTGGGCCGCCAGAGGGCCCCGGTTCAGATCCCACATATGAGGGCCAGTGACACTGCCCTCTACAGCTAAGATGCTGAACAACAGCTCGACCTGGAGCTGGGCTGCCATGGGTTGCCGGCGATGGCGTAGGCTGCAGCCCCTGCTGCAGTGGATTGCCATGGGCTACCGTATGTAGCCAGCAGCCAGCGTGAGCGGCCAGCAGCTGCCATGAGTGGCCGTCCAGAGGCCAGCGACTGATCTGCCTCGCCCGGGAAGAGCGCAATGATGGTGCCAGCTTGGGCCAGTGAAGCAACATCCTCCACAACTAGACTGAAGAACAAAAGGACAGCAACTTGTCTGTTCCCCTTCCCCTGATTCCCCAGCGCTGTTCCCCTCCCCCAATTCCCCAATAAAATCTTAAAAAAAAAAAGTCCTTTGCTATCTATTGCTCTTAAAATAAAGACCCAAAGCCTTACATATGTGGTCCTTACATGACTTTCCAGCCCCATCTCAGGACCCTCTGACTCTCACTTGATACCCACCCTTTTTCAGACCCCTCCACAGCCTTACTCCCTCCTACCTCAGGGCCTTTGCACATGCTATCCTTCTCTTTCTCGGGTGCTTTTCTTCCTCTTCATCTTTCTTCCTTATCGTTCATTTCCCTTCAGCCATTACTTCCCCAGGAAGCCTTCCTGACTATCAGACCAGGTGTGGGCACTCCATGATATTCTTCCTGCTCCCACTACTTTGCCCATGTTCAATCCTCCAGTCTAGGGGTCGGCAAATTGCAGCTCGTGAGCCACATGCGGCTCTTTGGGTACACGTTCCGTCTCAAAAGTTTGCCAACCCCTGGAAGAGCCAATCCTGTCCCTCACGACAATTTAAAAATTATTCAAGAGCCATAAGTATATTTTTACATAACCACCATTATGTGAATAACATCCTTTAAAAATTTTATAGATAAAACTATGATACTTTTATTTTCATTTTCAATTTTACTTGAGAGCCTGTGGCTCGCGAGCCACCGTTTGCTGACTCCTGGCAGCTCTTCCATATCAAAAGTTTGCCCACCCCTGGTCCAGGCTATAATTACCTGTGCGATGATTTGATTAACATCTTCTCTCTGTCAAACTCCATGCCCCATGGGAGCAGAGACTTACTTTATCTGCTTGTGTACTTTTGTGTCCCCAGTGTTGATCATAGCACCTGGATGGAGTTTAATAATTATCTGTTGAATAAATAAATGCCACTGGCCCTGGCTACGAAGTCAATCTTGTAATTGCCATTTATGTGTCTTTTAAGGGAAAAAGCAAGAAAGATACCAAATGTTTCCACTAATGGAGACACAGCGTTGAATAGCCTATCCTGTGGGTTGTTTGGTGGTGGTGGTGTTGCTGGTATGCATTTTGGTTTGCTTAGTTGGGGGGGGGGGGAGGATTCAAATCTAAAACACAAAAACAAATATAAAACACTCTGAAACAGATTTAAGCTGTGAGAAAAATTCTAATCTGCTGAATGAATAAATTTAAATTAATCTTCTTGAAGAACACAAATAGGGACTCATGACAACTTCTTGGGAAATGGGTTTTTGATGGTTTTTCTATTTATAAACTGTAATATCTTCAGGGCCAGGGCTGCAAATTAGGCCTAGAGCATTATTGTATTTTTGTGTTTTTTTACACGTAAGATGGGCTATAAACAATAACCTATGTATAGAACACCAGACACAGCTGATCCCCAAATTATCTTTGCTTACCACTGTCTCCTCACATACTGCTTATGACGCCATCTGATCAGGAAGTGTTTTAAAATACTTCTGCTCAAGGCTTTTCAGCATTTGAACATCAAAGCAAAGCTGATGAGCTCTATTGAACGTGAAAGGATTTTCCATTTTTAGCTTGTTTTTTGTGTGGATTTGAACAAGGTGTGCTGTTTTGTCAACAGTCGACTTGTCATTTTACCGTCCAGAATCCAGCAGAAAGTTTGACACCTTACTTCCTAATCTATCCAAAAATAATGCTGTTCTTTTCCTTTTCACAAATCCGCAGATGTATGTGGTCGTTTTTCTTAAACCGCATGCATGAAACACATGTCTCACCAGGTGCTCTTCTTGAACGCCTCATAATTTGGAGATAAAACAAGATCTTGAGGAAATGCTAGAATGCAAAATCCACGGTGACAGGGGCTATGTTTGTCTGATTTCTGCTGCATCCCCAATGACCAGCACTTTAGGACACACCCAATAGATATTTTTAAATGAACACATTATAATTGGTGTTTATTTATTAAACTTTTTACAGTAAAAATAATACATTTTTATTTTAGAAGTTTTAGGGGAAATGGGAAACAAGCAGGAAAAGAAAAGATACTGTTACTTAAAGATGATCACTATTGACGTTTTGGCATATTCCTCCAGACAGTTTATGTATGCACATATATAAATTTTCTTTTTACATCATGCTATACATACAGTTTTCTAACCTATTTTTTTTAAATTTACAATGTGCTCGATGTTTATGCTCCATACCAAGTATTTTTTACTACATTGTTATTGGTGGCTGTGTTATTTCAAAGTAAGAATGGACCAGTTTATGTAACTAATTCCACTAGGAAACATTGCCGATGTCAGAAATGCTCTATTTTTCAGCACTTCAAGAAAATGGGGCATTACGGTTACTAGGGAGTGAGCATCTAGGGCCACATTCCCGTGAACAAAAGTAAGTCTAAAATCACACAGAACATGCCATGCTTCAATCTTTCTTTGATGAACCAGGAACATTCTACAATGACTTTCCATGTAGAAGCAAATACCCTTCATCTTAAAGGAGTTACATATTGCCAGGCTATCTAAAGAAAACAGAAGCCATGGCACTTCTGGTGTCAAAAAAAGGAACCCCAATCCAGCCTCCTCAACAGCATCAAATGGCCCCTCCTGACGGGAAGAAGAAATGGTTGCCATATTTATTCATGTCTGAGGACAAACCTTCCAATTCCTTTGTTTCCTTATTTTAACTGATAACACCAGCCCCTCACTGCTTTGGATGGGGTGGCAGATCCAGACTGTGTTACTTTGAAGATCAAACGTTTACTGTCAAGAAAAACTGTTCCTATCTGACAAGTTCATAGAATATTGTTTCTAAGACTGCTTTTGAAGTTAATTTGTGCTTGAGAGTCATGATAGAACCCACCACATATGGTGGTTAAGGCTACATGTTGAATAGTGCCAAGGATGGTCATTCGTATCATGGGCTATGGGCACACACTATATATCTGGCTGGAGAGAATTCCTACTGGCTCATGGAGCTCCAACCCTGTTCCCTACCCACAGATACAAAATTATATTTTATATTTATAAAATTCCCCCTTGGAAATTTCCATAGAGCATAAATCCAAATAGATTTCTTCAGAGCTCACTACTGCTATAGATCACTAGTTCCATGAGTGTTGACTTTAATGGAAAACCAGGAACAGCTCATCTCTAGATGAAAATTTCAACAATGAAGCATTTTAGGTAATTTGTATGAATTTTTCTCCAAGCCAGTTTTGCAGCCTATATAAGTGAATGTGTTTAGTAAACTGTAAGCATTAAATAAGGTTAAGATAGATGGGGCAGGTTAAATGCCTAGTAATTGCTAAAATGGGTTTGGTTTATTTGCTGTAAAATTTTTATTTAAAAGGAAGTACTTCCAATAAAATCTCAGACCCAGGATTAACCTCTCAGAATAAAACCAATTACATTAAAAAAACAAAAACAAAACATTCGCCTAATTTGATTTGAAGTCACCATTGATTACTCTGAGGCGAAGGAGTCATTATTTCATGCTGCCCACAGTTGAAAACAGGACTTAAACCTTCTAATTGTGAAAAGTGCTGGCAGGGGTAGGCGTAGGGAGAGACTGCTCCTTTCCATCTTCTCTAAGGAGAGCCGATCTGTTCCTAGACAGGGAGACTGGATCTGGGGCCTTTTGGGCTTATTCCATTAGCATCCACCAGCACAGTGCATGCACAGAGCACACTCTCCTATATTTACAGATGAGGGCGGGTCCGGGTCCTCCATGATCCTCTATGAGCCCACCACAATCTTTCGGCTGATGGCTCCTGGCAAGGTGTAGATGAAGAGGACCAGGAAGATGATGAGGATAATCAGAATGAAAGCGATGATGATGTACTTCTTGTAATTCTTCCAGATGAGGTGGTACAGGCACTTGAAGGGGCTCACGAACCAGGAGAAGGAGGTATCTGGGCGGCTGAGAGAGAAGCAAGAGAAAATCAGGGAAGGCGGCCATGTTGTCCACGTGTAGGATTCTGTTGACCTTGGGACATATTTCTGACTCCCACTTTCTGGAGGCCCACAAGGAAGGGCCTGAGAATGCGAGAAGAAGACCATGTTGCCTTAAAGCAGGGGCAGTCTAACATTTTGGGCAATTCTGATTCCTCACCATTTACAGGTTGGTCTGGAGGAGGGCAAGAGTCTAGTTAGAACCCAGACAGAAGTCTGAGTGCCTTCCGTCTGTCCAACCCTGACCAGCTCAAGCCCCACCTCTTCCGTAAAGCCCACTCTAACCACCCCAGTCCATGATTATCCCTGTCAATATGCATTCCTATTTCACCGATCACTTGACTGAGCCCCCTTTTTAAACCTAGCACGTTTGTCTTCTACACTCTGAACTATTTTATGAGTCTGTGTGTTCTTCCTAAACAGATTGAAAGCTCCTAGAAGGCAGAGCTTATGTCTTATATTTCTTCGGTGTTCTTCAAAGTGTTTTTTCAGTAGGTACATTTTGTAGGAACTCAATAAATAATTTTGAATTAATCAATAAATAAGCATCCACGATGTTCCTAACACTATGATAGATGAAAGGTAGGTTCAGAGAAGGGTCCACTCATTTTGAGACACTTGGGGTCTACGGAGGGATTGCACAAATACAATTTGAGAGTACTTTGTAGACATATTTCATAACTCTATATATTACTTTTCAATTGACAGGTAACCATGGACTAAATTGAATAGCGTAACCTTTTCTTCTAGCAATTCTACTTCTGGGAATTTACTTTAAAGTAATAATTTATAAAGGGGAAACATTTTCATCATATTATGATAATGGAAAAAAAGGTAGACATAAATTAAATTGTTCAATTACAGAGTGGCAACCAATTCAATTATGGGCACCAAGTCTATAGAATATTCCACAGCCGTTAAAAAAAAAATCCTAATTATGACAACTATGGAAACAAAGCAAAACATTACCGCAAAGGATAAATAAAACATGAAGGCAGATTTGTATGCATGATTGGGGAACAAGTAGAAAAAAATTCATGTGAAATTCATAATCACCTGAAAAAAAATAAGTAAAAAAAGACATGAAATTACTCTGGAAATGCTTATGTGTTAGCATCACAGAAAATCACCCTCTCCATTTGCCAAACGCTCTGGATGATTTTTAGAATATTTTTCAAGGAGAGAAACAAAAAGCTACATGGATTGGATGGCACCTATTGACTGCCTCCTTGTTTCTCAGTTCTCCCAGAGGGATCTCAAGAGAAAGGCCCCATCCTCTGACACGGGGACCGTGCAGGCCTTTCGCATCTCTGGTGGCTCCCGCCCACAACTCCGCTCACTTGGGCTTGGCCAGAGGCTCCGGCTCCTTTCGGGCTTTTCCAACGGGATTTTTCTCAGCTTCTTCCGCGGTGACCAGGTGGAACTCGGCTTCAACCTTGCCCTGCACAAAGGCAAACGTTTCCATTTGTTGTCACAAAGACCTGCTGGGGCATCACCAACCTTCCAGAAAAAGCGTTATCGTGTGGGAGAGTGCCAGGAAATGTTCTGACTATCCTGCTGCTTTATTTTGAGAGACAGTGTTATCTTTTTGCCGTGTTTACGATGAACAATAAAAGCCCTGAAATGATGTTACTGTTGAGTTTTGTGAAAGGAGAGAGTCCCACGTGTACACGAACACACGTATACTCAGTCACATGTGCTACTTGGCTTGTAATCATTTCTATCTGGAGAAATAATATTACTTATAGAAACTTATATAATTAGAAAGGGGACTATTTGCTTGAGTGGCAGAACCCTTTTAAATCTGCTATGTGCCACGGTCTTTCTTCTCTGTCAGTGATTCTCAAGGAGAGATAGGAAGGTGTGTCCCTATATTTGCTGAATGGCTTTTCTGTCCTCCTCCATTGTTTTTGCTGTCCCTACTGATTATTTTATAACTATCCTCTTATTCCAGCACTTCCTCTCTCCTGTCCTCCCTCAATAAGAAACAGCCACTCTTGGGCCGGCCGAGTGGCGTGATGGTTAAGAACTGGCTTGGGACGCCAGAGGGCCCCGGTTCGGATCCCACATATGAGGGCCAGTGACACTG